CGGCGCCGGGGCGCTCAAGCCCGCCACCGGCAGCCGCGGAGGCGAGAAGCCGGGCAGCCCGAAGGGGTCTCCCTGGTGCTGCACCTGCGGAAACACGGCGGTCAGCGGCCTCCGGGGCTCCTCCCCTCCCGGGCCGCGTCTCCCCCGCCTCGCGAAGGACAGTCCCTCCTAACCGGGCTGCCGTGTTTGTGATAACACGGAACACAAAGCGGGCTTTAAACCAGTGCCTTTCTTCCCTCATCTCTAAACTGGAGGTAACACTGTCAACTTCATAAAGTAGTTATGAGCATGTTAAAAAGCTTAAGGTCCTAATATATGGTGACAGGAGAAGATTTGATTTTGGGTGGTGGGCACGAGGGGCAATATGCAAATCTTGTAACGTAGAAACCAACCCACACCAGAAACCTATATGATCAATGTCACCCCAATAAATTTAATAAAAGATAAAAATAAATAGCTTAAGGCAAGTCCTGGCCCACGGGAAAAGCACAGTGAATGTTAGCTCTTTTACTAAATGCTATCTTACACGCCAGGGTTGCAAATCCTGTCTCCATTTACTAACTGTTCAGTTTCTTACAAAAACATTTCCCTTCTCTGAGCCTCAGTCTTCTCATCTGTAGAATGAGGGGTACAGCTCCCTGCTCTCTCTTCCTACCAGGAATCTCCAGAGAATCATATGAGACAATGCAGGAACTAGTCTGTTTTACTCTCTCCCTGCACCCTCCCCCACCTCTGCACCACCCTGGCACACGGCAGGGGCTTCAGAATAACTGTCCTATGAATGAACAACTGAAAGCTAAAGGTGATTTGTGTAATTTGGAAAACTGCTATAACAATACCATTTATCCTTTGCTAACATCTTGCCTCTGGTTCAGGTATTGCGCTTTCGGTTTTAAACACACTATTCCTAATCTACCCAATAGTGGGTGTGATGATAATGATGATGATTTTGTAAATGATGACATTGGGGCTGAAGAGGTACAGTGACTTGACCTAGGTCATCCACCTAGGAAGGGGCAGAGCTGGAATTTGAACCAAAGTTGGCAGGACTACAAAGCTAGTTCTATTATCCCACTACCTGCTGTCATAATTCCTACATCATTATTTTAATGTTATCATTCCTGCTAAAGGTCACAGCAAAAAGGCAGGCCCACAGTTTGTCTGATCAAAGCCATACCCTTCCTCCACTACACCAGAGTAATTTGGAGAAATGCCTTCTTTCCTTGGTCAGGGCCCTCTACCCAACCAAAGATGTTGGAAGATCTCCCTCCTTTGTAAAAGTCCTTTCTTGGGATGGAATTTTTGCCCCAGATTGAAACCCCTTCTTGGCCTCTCTGTATAGCACAGGTAGAAGAGTTCACGTGTCATCTTGTTCAACTGCCTCCTTTTCCAAGGCCCATGGAGGTGAGGTGACAAAACCATACAGAGCCTGGACCCTAGGTTTCCTGACTCCGACCAGAGTTCTCTACACTCTCATGTTGAGTGGATGAAGGGGCATTTGGGGAACAGAGATGATCCTCTTCCAATCTGCTGTGTGGCCAGGGGCAAGTTATCCCTCTTGGAGCCCCAATTTCTGCAGGTGGGAAATGAGGTTGAGAAAACGGGTGGTCAAGTAACCCTCTGATCTGTACTTCCCTGATCCCCAGGCCCCCTGGCACCCCCACACCCATCCCCACTCACATATTCCTGGAGCAGCTGCTCAGCATATTTGGTGAGGAGGCGGGCAAGGCTGTGTGTCTGATGGATCTTGGCCTCCAAGAGGGGAAGGGGTGAGATTGAGGAGTCAGCCTGGGGGTCTTCTGGTGGGAAAAGGGGGGAGGAATGAGGGCTTCCCAAACCCCTACTCCTGACTTTGTTCAGGTTGGCTCTTTCTTCCTGAACCCAGAAGCTCAGCTCTGAATTCTCCAACTTTTAAGCCATGCAGGCTCTGTCCCATTCCAACTGAGGGAAAATGAGATACCAGACATTTGCAAAACGTTTGTTCTCCCTGAAACGTGTTAGCTGTCCTCAAAATACTATTAAAGCCAAATTCAAATACCACCTCCTCAGTGCAGCCTTGGATTCACCCCCTCCCTTAAATTAACTTCTTCCTTCTTCTTGAGGCCATTTGTTCATGCTTCTAAGGTAGTTCCTTTAATGGCTCTTTTATCTGTGTGAACTGGCCTCAGCCTGGGAGATCTTTGAGGATTGGGCTCACATATCTGTACCTCTGTGATTGTTGGTGGAATTCAACATCACCGAAGCACAGAACTTCAAATCGGAATGCGCCTTTCAGCCCATTTTACAGATTGGGAGACTGAAATCCCACTTCCTCCCTGATAGATGTTTTGCGCAAGCAGCTGGGCTGGGCACCTGGCAGCATCAATGAATCCGCGACCAGTCTTAGCAAAAGCGGAAAGGTGATGCCCCTCGAGGACTACATTTCCCGAGATACCCCGCGCCCGCGCCCAAGGAACGCTGGGAAATGTCCTGGCTTCTCAACTCCCGCGCCACTCCACCACCACCACAACCACCACCCCCGCCTGAGTTTCCCACCGCCTATCCCTATCCGTATCAGTCCTGACTTTCGTCTCCTGTTGTCATTCACATCTCCTGTGGCCCGAAGACTTTCTCCTCTAACCCTATCCCTCCCTCTGGCCCCCAGCTCTGCTGCTTCGCCAACATTCAAAGAGGATCCAGGCGAACAGCCCGAGCCACGACCCCAGTCTTCCCCCAGTGTGTACTCTAACCGGTTATCTAACCTCTAAACCCGCGTCCCTGAAGGTACAGCCCCAGGCCTCCTCTGAACTCTGGCGCTATTACCTTCCCACAGCTCACCCAGAGATCACCGCCTGTTACCTGACACCCAGGCCCTGCTCTGCCCCACTCGGGCCGCTCCCTTCCCCGACCCGAAGGTAGCAGGGACCCAGACCCCAGCTTCCAGCCCTTCAGACCACTGCTCCCGCTGGGCACTCGGCATCCACCCTTTAGCCCCTTACCCAGACTTCCCTCCCTCCGGCTCATGCTGGCCCCGGGCTGATCCCGGTTGCCTCCACGCCCCCCTTCCA